GTGTGTGTGAGTGTGTGTGGAGTGTTTAACTGGGTAGCTTTTGGGCGATTTAGATGAATTCATCTCTGATCCGACTTGTATTCATTTCAAGCATTCTAAGAGTCGTTACTGGAACATATCCCCACCATTCTGCCTCTTATCCTTTGAATTCAGACGTAAAATTAAAGTACTCCGCCCCCAACACACACACTCACAAACTTTCCAGAATGACGAGGATTGAAAAAAACCCTGAAGTTGCCATCTAAGTCAAGAAATTGATTTCATCCGTAATACACATAATCAATCAACAGCATATCTGCTCTCGAAATAACTGTTGGGGTTTCATGTGACGTCTCTCTTGATTAATTTATATCGTCAGCAACAAAGAATGGGTTGTGCTCTGGCCACGCAAATTCCCCTGTGAGAGAGAAAACCGTTGATATTATCTAGCAAACTATTTCGCGAGATCCCTACATATCTTTATGTGAGAACTTGGTGATATGACTGGACTTTTGTTTGAGTTCGTGCAAAATGGTGTTTGGGGATAACACCATATAAAAACTTTGCACCCGTTGGATAACCCATTTATTGAGGTGCATAATAAAGAGAAGGTGAAATGTTTTACATAACTGCTCAACGTGTTTGGCCCCATGATCCCAAGCCACTTACAGACGTTGTCTTTGGAGATAAAACATAGAATTCCTCTTTTGAAATTCCATCTGCCTGTCGTATTATGGATAACATACAAGTACTTTGAAATCAACAAATCATGCCACAGGGACGAACATGCAAGGAAGGAAGGGAGGAATAACCCCCCCCCCCCCTTTAAAAAAAACAAACAAAAAAATTAAAAGAAAACAACACATCACAGTGCCATCATTTCCAGTTTGTAATGACTTGAAAGATTCATTCATTGGGCCGTTAAATCAAACATAATGTTGTCAAATTTTCAAAAATACTTGCTTCTTGTTCAACAACAATTATGTAAAAAAAACCCCCAAAAACAACAATAGAAAACGATGGATGCACTACTCATAGTAGATCGCCTACAAAAGACCGAATTTGATTTTCGTGTGGGGGTAATTTTTATTTAGTATATCGGCCTTTCTGTTTGAAAGTTGCATACCTCTCAGCTCGAGCTGGCCCTAACAGGAAAGGTCGAGGACAGCCTCATAAAGATCTAAATTGTGTTGACAGGGGCGTAAAAATCACCTACATAAAAAAAAGATATACGCAAAGTAGGAATATCCACTCTAATGATGACAGAATAACACCTACGATCACTTTAAAAAAAAATACCTGTACGCTATCGATGTCGCATCCTTATTTATATTTCCTTCCCATTTTCCGTGATCTTTGCTCCGGGAACCAAGCTTTCGAAGGGACCTATTCATATCTAGACGTAGGGTTGTATCACTTAAAAAAATTATCAAAAACTCTCTAAATTATACTTGGTGTTAATGCAACAACATCGTTATGCGACCAAAAGAAAGACCCCCCCCCCCCCCACCAAAAGAAAAATATTATTTTCTTTTCCGTATAAGAGATATTATTGTAGTGGCTCTACTTTCCAAATATTTACTTCAAATGTTTTTAAGAGCATCCAAGCAAAAGAATGAATGGAGAACATAATCGCAGATGTCCCTCGCAGATCTGGCACTGGATGGTGCTGATTGGAACAAAATAAAAAAGATCAGGCAAGCATTATATGTGAGGCAGCGTGGTGAAATCAGGCTCTCGTCAATTTTGGGGCATGTAGAGTTATTGGTATCATCTTGAAGCTTGTTCCCTTGTCTTTATTTGGATGAAAAAAATATCCATTTATCTTGAATACAAGTCGGGATATTTGCGAATGAAGAAGGTGGGGGTCACCTGTTTTCAGAGGTAAAATTAGTGAGAAAATGGCCGTCAAAGATTAGTTATTTCCTTAGCTTAAGAGTCCGTGGTAACTGAAAATCTACAATCTTGTGCCTTAAATCAACGTTTTTCAGAAAAATCCACACATAAATGAGTTTTTCAATGAGCATGAAAGGTTTTGAGCATAAAAACAAAAATGTGAAAAAAATTATCAGACCTGCGGAAAATTGCAAGTTTCTTCACTTTGATTATTTTGACGAGAGCCTGATTCCACCACGCTGCCTCACATATGACATGGCCGCAATACAGCCTTATTACGAGTATAATGTCTCTTTCTGAATGTTTTACAATCAGAAACAATGAAGCAGCTCAAGCTCAGATATGTACAAAATGTCAATAGCTTGAACCATCACGCTATAAGTGTGCTGCCTTTGTTACCTCTGCCGTCCTACTCTTAGTAATGTTTCATTCATTCTGAACTGACAATTCATTGACGTTACTGGGAAGAGAGAAGATGTAGAATAGGGATGGGGGTGGGGGTGGTGGAATGCCTCTTGATTCTAAGCCACAAGTGTAATGGGCAAAGTCAAGAGTAAACAGACGATGAGGGAACAACACACCGATTGGCCAGCTTTGAATGCCAATGAGGCACATCGGGTGCGTCGTTGGACTTGTAGGCATTCCAAACTGGTAGACTATTTAAACACTGTCTGTCGATTCGTAATTTTGGCGGCTCGTCTCGATCACAATGTGACCAATTTTGAAAGACTCGATAAGGGGGTAGAGCTATAGATAGGAAATCAAGAGAGAAGGTAATTCAAAACGAAGAGAAATTGTTTGACTAGGAGAAGTTAAGTAAAAGAAATATTGCCGACACTTTGCTATCATGTGAATAAATGTGGTGTCAGACTGGCACAACGCTCTGGTTTCCTTCGCGGTTTTTGAGGTCGAGGGACAACTTAATTTGAAAGAAAAGAATAGAAATACGGAGGGACACTAAGAAGTTAAGTATAGCGATGTCCTGCTAACATTTGTCCATCCGGTGAACAAACTTGGCGCCAAACGACGTTGTGTGCGGGCTTCTTTTGCAGCTGTCGTGGTTGTGACGTTTACATGAGAATCTGTGTACACGAACTGCACGCCAAAGTTCAAAAACACGTTTATATATATAAATGTGTGTGAGTGTGTGTGTGTGTGTGTTTGAGTGCGCGCGCGCGTGTGTATATATGTATATATATA